CCTCGACATTATCGTAATATTTCGATTTTATTATTTAGAAGTCATTTGTTAGAAGAATCGATTAGTATATAAGACAATTATTTTACGTTAGAAAATATTTTTTAATTACCTGAAAATAACGAGACGATGTGGTATCCGTGCGATCTCCAGCGCCGACGCCGCGAAAAGAAAGAAGGAATATCAGCAAAGAGCCCTGATTGGCTGATAATTGTCAAGTGACCAATTAGAAATTCCCAATAACCATATAGAAATGTATTTCACGCACACAAGCTTTAACCGTCACACGTACGTAGCTCGGCTTTCTTCATGACCACGCTAGTCAAGCTTGATATGATAATTTATTTATTAAATAAATCAAAACATTATTAATATTTAATAAATAATGTTTATTAACATTTATTTAACAATTAAATAAAACATTCTTCTTTTTATCTTCATAATTTCTTCATAAAACATATATAATTATCATAGAAAAGAGATGATTTAAATAAAAAAAAAATTGTCGAACGAATATAATATTTAATGTAAGGGAAACGAAACTCGTTACAAAAGATCATCTTTTCCATCGTCTTTTACACATTGAAATTTATTTTTTTTACTTTGAATTCTTGCGATCACGACCGTTCGATGTTCGATAGGATCATTCTCTCTCTCTCTCTCTCTCTCTCTCTCTACACTCCCCTGCTTCTTTTTCTTTTTTGTCATGATGACACGAAATAACGTGCGAGCAAGAAGGAACAAATGAATGAAACGAAAGAAAGAAAGAAAGAAAGAACGACAAATTCACGGATTACACTGCGTATATATATATATATATATATATACATTTACCTAAATGGCGGGCAATTAGAAAGACGGTAATGAAAGTGCCAGTCGAATCGCGCAGTTTTGCCGGTTCGCCGATAAAGTTGATGCTTTACGGTTACGCGAAGTCGGAGACTGAGACTCCTCACCTAAATTTCCAACGGGTAGCATTAAATTCGTGACGTGCCGGCGGTCTTAGGGTAAACACGAGCGAGAAAGTCCATAAGACCCTGGCCTCCCACAAGAAGGCTCACCCCCTCCGGTTAACTGGATACTTATTAATTAAGGATAATTGCTGAAATTTACGATATCGCTATTTTACTCGCGGGGATCCCCGTGCACCGCCGCGGGGATGAACTAAAAGAAAGAAAATGAAATAACCGTTCGAATAATCTTATCTCGATAATAAAAATCTTCATATTTCATTAACTCGTTAGATCTTTTCTATAATTCTTTTTTACCTATAACTCTATTTGAAATAGCTTTTCATTTACGTTCAAATTTTTTACTCAAAATATAAATTATTATATAATTGAGGATTTTATAAAGTACATTTATATTTATTATATTAGTTTATTTTTAATAACTACAGATATTACAGACTTTCGTAATTATCCTTTCAGTATTCGTTAATAGCCTTCTAAATAGATTCAAAAAAATAATGTTCGATCATTTCCGACGATATATGATAAATAACTCATTAGACGATAGATAATGATCGATAACTCATTACATGATACATAACTCATTAAACGAAAAAATATTCTAATGATCCTATCTTTCTTTAATATCTGTTTTTATTTATAAAAATTATTGTTCACTATCAGGTAAGCATTAAGCATAATGATTTTGGTAGAAATTTTAAAAATAATAATATAGATGCGACCAATAGGAAATCATTATCTACACTTTCGAAGTTAGTTTAGAATTGGTATAGGTATATATCTATAACCATTAGATTTGTGTTAAACGTAGGGAAAATTTAGTAACAAAAATAAGACACGCCTACGACCAATGACAGTAGATCATTTCCTACTGTTTCGAAGTTTCGGGGGTAGTTAAAGATAATAGATCGAATATAAATAGATTGCCAGGAAGCTCTGAGATTTTGTTCACAACCAATGTTTAATATAAACTGCGAACGTATTACTATTAGAAAAAAAAACGTATTACTTTGATTCTATTTATCGCATAATATGTTAACTTGATCATTACCCGAAACATAAACCAAGTATTCGTCGACGAAAGTATTACTTTCAGAGAAGGAAATACTACTGTGATCATATTAATTCATAACGTGTAAAATTAATCAGTAGCTAAGACATCTATCAAGTGCTCGTCAACGAAACAATTGGGTTCAATTTTCAAAATAGAATTCATCAAATTAAACGAAATTTTGATCGAACAATCAAAGTAAGAATTATTTTTTTTTTCTATATATTGGATATATAAAAGTAAATCTCAGAATCTCAGAATGTAATCTTATTGTTAACTTTAAAAATGTTTCCTTTTTTCATTTTAAATTCGAGCTTAGATTTCGAGCTTTGTCTCTATATTAAAATATTCATCAAACAGCCAACACGTACGAACTTTACTGTCGATTATCTTGATATACGTAAAATGGAAAATAAATATGTAGGTATATTTATATAAGATAAATACATTAATCAATTCGAAAATAGTGTTATTGACATATCTATATACATCATTTTTTAAATTAAAACTTCTTTTGGAAGGGTACCGTAAAATTTCAAACGACACAATAAATGAAAAGCTGTGAGTTGCTGGAATCTTTCAGTCATTGTTCACTGAATGTATTGCTCATACAATATTAAAATCCGTTTTATACATTTTCATGAAACACTAGACTTGTAACTTTTAATGTTTTCTTTCATTTATTGTGTCGATAATGAATAATCTAATAATTCAATAAATTGATCAACGTAAAACATCAATCGCGTGTGGGATCCACGCGCTTTTCTTTTTTCTTTAGAACAAAGATATTTTAAATCTTAAGCAACAAGAAAAATATCTCATGTTTAAGTTTAATACAGAATATGGTAATTTATCAACGGAGATTTTAAGACTGAATAAAGAATGTAAGAAAAAACGAGAAGAGTTAAAAGTTCTTCAGCTGAAAGTTCTTGAGTTGAACGAATCCTTATATGAAAGGAAAAAACTATCAAATACTCCAACTGATGATCAAAATAATGAATCTTCAGAGGAATCTGATGGACAATTTGATCAAAAAGATAAAATATTTGATGAAATTGAAGAAATATCTGATGACAACGAAAGTATAACTGATGATATCAAAGATATCGATGTCAATAAAATATGTGATAACATCGAAAAAAAATTGGAAAAGCTTAAGAAATATTTGAGGGACATGTAAATGCAGAATTGTGTTATAAGGAAATACTAACTTTCACCTATGACTTTAAGAACATCTATGGAAAAGGATAATGATTAAATACTTAAAAGCTCACGGGAAACTAAATTTTTGTTAATTTATGTATATTATATTTTTGTGCTGTAAAAATATTATACTACTATTATTAAAATTCATGAAATTCATGAAATGTTATATCATCTCTTACAAGTTTCAATTGAGATTAAGCTAATTTTATATTATGATTTTTTACAATGTAACTATTATTATAAATATACATTTTCTTTTTATTAATAGAATGAATTTCTATATGTTTTTAATTAATCACGATGTTATTTCTTGTGATCTTCTTATAGCCATTGTTTCATTTCACACATAAATATATCTTTTATAATCTCTCTATTATACTAAATTGACACAAAATTAGATGAAACCAATTAAACTAGACTATTGATCAATAATAATATATCTGTAAATCACATAAAATTGTCCTTTCCCGGGCATTACAATAATTTCTTCAATACTCCTATATATAATCCTACTATACACAATAACACATTTGTATTATCAAATATTTATTATATTCACATTTCATATTTAACGAAATATTTCAAATAAACGGAAAATCTTGTACACGTATCTGTGTATCAATGATTCAAAAAGTCATGTTCCAATAACTATTATTCCAAATATCAGCTGGCATGAAATTTTGTTCGAAAACGAAGGGGGTAACCCTTTACAAAATACAAGTACTTAACTTACTAAAGTGTGGAATAATCGTGATCGGTAAAGAAAGTAACGCATAAAGTAAATTCCTTCGAGAGAAACTTGTCGTTGTATGTATAAGTATTATAGGTATAGCTCGTGCCTATAGTTATATATATATATATAAATAAATACATATAATTATATATATATAGATATGTGTTCTCTATGTATATATATATATATACATAGCTAGCTAGCGCGAATAATAAAGCGAGCGGCGTAATATTTCAAGATGGCGGGCGCGGTAAGTACTCGCGGTAGATGGCACAGCTCGATATTATTTAGCGTCCCGGGGTCGCACCCACTTAACCCCATCTCCTGGCCGCGAGAGTCCGTAAGCAAAAAAGGGCGTCTACAAAGACAGAGAATAAGTTACCTTAGACGAAAAGACGCGCCTTACCTTTGCATTCTCATCCTCTTTCTACCTTTCTTCCACTTCCTCTTCTTCTTATTCTTCTTATTATTATTCTTCATCTTATTTCTTATTTTCATTCTCCTATTTCTCCTTAGTATTATCGGTGACACAGGAATCTTGTTATATTCTTAAATCACACTAATATTCTTGCATATTCGTTAAATCGATAAAACTTATTAAACTCTTTCACATTAATCGACATTTGTTTATATGTAAAGCTTTAACCTAGTTTTTTTCTTTTCCTTATTAACAAGATATTTACTTAAGTATTTATAATTAAGAGATAAGAGATGTACGTTAGATCTATGTTTAGTTAGATTTAACGAATTTTTCAAAAAAAAGGAATACCCTCTTACATATATGTTTTCTTTTAATATTTATAATTGTCGACCTAATTTATATCCATGATAAATTTAATTATATTCGTTAAATTTTTTTATCACAGATATAATTATTAAAATAATAATTATTAAATTAAAAAATATGTTTTTTTTTTTCTGAACATTGCGTAGGAATTAAAATACAAAAATCGGATAGTCTAAACTGAACACATTATATCCCCTAAACTCATTAATCGTAAATGATCAACTAATTTTTAACTTGTCTGAATCATTTTAATATCAAAACAAAGCTAATATAAAGAGGCATTGCAATGATCCATCTTGTTGTTTTTTTATTTATTTTAAAATCTCGATTACTTCACTCGTACACGAACATTTCTATTTTTATCTTACGATATAATCATGGCCATATATTTTATACGACTCATGCAAATATCGTCTATAAAATTTAGCAAATCGCACGAGTATCAGCAATATAATTGGGTTCTTTTCGACGATGAATAATAGGTTTCAAAGTATTACGACGAAACCAGTTTTCCATTTTTTTCTTAACAACGTCATTGACTTTAAAATTGATTTGAAAGTATTATAATTCATTCTTAATTTCTCTCTCTCTCTCTCTCTCTCTCTCTCTCTCTCTCTCTCTTTTTTATGTTCTGACACTCAATCGGTCGATCGAAAAAGATCGATAGCAATTTTATACGAAATTCAACGTACGATCAGATTTCATTAGTTCACGCCTACGTAAATATTATATCAAAAAGCAAGTAACTCAGGAGACTGCGTAGATAAACAAGTAATTCATGAACGACCTTTAGTTTGCACTTACCTCTTTCTCTTTTCATCTTTAAAATCAACTTAATAGTCAATGCAAATCGATTAAACCTTCCTTGCTAACATATTATACAAAATAAAAAGCTAATCTTTTGTAAAATTAAATTTGGAAAACAAACAAAAATCGATCCCCCTTTTAAAAACTTTCCGATATCATAATAAAAAGCAAACATTTTTTCTGCAAGGTATCATATAAAAATAAAAAAAAAGAAGACCCCGCTAAAACTTAAAGAAAATAAATAAAAATATCTGTAATCATCGGAAAATGATAATCTATTTAGGTGTAGGAAAGCATAAGCTTTTCTGAGACATTACCAAAGTCTTGTCCTCATCGTTGGTATGATCGTTTCTTCGACGTAGCCAATTAGCGTAGTAGTCGATGCAGACGAGACGAGACGAGAAGAGAAGAAAAGAAAAGAAAGAAAAAAAGAAAGAAATAAAGAAAGAAAGAGAAAGAAAGAAAGAGAGACTCGTCCCTTTCTTCATCTCGTTCCCCATCCAAGCTAACAGGAAGGTACCGCCTGTGTCCCGAGCTCGCACACCGTATATATACGTGAGCGCAGGGTCAAGCGCTCGTAAACGTCACGCGAGAGACGTTCGACTCGAGGCCGAGTATAGAGGCACAACCAAGTAACAGAGAGAAAGAGAAAGAGAGAGAAAGAAATAAATAAATAAATAAAAAGAAATGGAAAGAAACAGAAAGAGAGAGAAGGAGGATACACTCGCGCATCTATGAAAAACGTATTATGAATTTCCCGGCGGCCAATCGGAGGCAACCGAACGGACGCTTGCTCGCTGTCTGACCCCGGACTGTCAACCCGGACTGACCTCCCTTCTCTCCTTCGGTCTCACGGTGCTCTCTCTGCTGCTTACCTCGACTGCTCACCTCGGCTGCTAGCCAAGCCCACAGGCCACAGGTGTAGTAAACCTCTTTACCTCACGCACTCGCGCGTAATGGCCCCGCTCTTACGCCCGTGCCGCGCATCTGCCAAGCTTTTCTTCTTATTCTTATTCTTATTTTTCTCATCCTCATTCTACTCGTCCTCTCCTTTCTTCTTCTTCTTCTTCGTAGAGTATTTTACTCTTCTCTACCCCTCCCCCTCTTCTCTTCCTTTCTATTCTTAAAACCCCCGTTCTTTATCTTTAACTTCTTTACCTTCATCTCTTTTATCTTGACTACCCACGTAAAATGGCGCATTCTATTTGGCATTGTCGACATTCGTCGAGAACAAATTTGGCATCGTCGAAAATATTGAATAAATAACCTAGATATATGGGATCGAATGGAAAATCTTGGATAAGGGTTTATTAGATACTTTTGTCAATGTTTAATTGCACAATAAAATGAAATTCTACAGTATCTGTTGATCTTTTTAATAGATATACATTTTCCAATTCGTTTCATCGGTAAACGTTGCTCCGATTGTAATTTAAACTCATTTCTTTTTCTTGTGTCTTATCTTTTAATTATTTCCAGAACAAAATATTTAATCGAATTTGTTTTTGTGTTGGACAGATTTAACTTATTCTCAAGAAAAATAATCGACGATTATTTATTAATTACATCGATTAGATTGATGCGAATGAAATGATCTAATTGAAAAATTTCTAAACGAATGAATTATATTTTATTTCAAGCCTAATAATGACTATTATAATAACGAACGAACAAACTTCGTAATATACGTTCGAGGAAACAAAAAAAAAAACAGAAAAAAAATAAATCTAAAGAAGGATAAGATAAAATTCGTTTCAAATTCTCGGTCGCGAATCGTCAGAAGACGCGACACGGTACAGTAGATTAATCGCAGTCTCGATTTATTAGCCAATTTATGACTCGAATTCGGCGAGTCTCGTAATCACGAATACGATATAAAAATCAACTCTTTCTTTAATATATTGGCTTATTCTTGGCTGGGACGACCACCATTCACGTACGGGGGCCTTCGCCCCGTCAATGAACAACTAACCGGTCTTCCTTCTCTTCCGGGCTCTCTCTCTCTCTCTCTCTCTCTCTTTTTTCTTTCTTTCTTTTTTTATTCTTCTTTTATTTTTTTCTCTCTCTCTCTCTCTCTCTCTTTCTCTCACTTTTTACAAACGAACAGTCGGTCTTCTGTTTCGAAGGAGGGACTTTATTAATTTACGACAAGACGGTGACTTTGACGATCCGTTGTACGGTGTCTCCGAGATTTACGTAACGCACTAAAAAGATGACACGAGTGAGGTAGATAGAAAGATAGAGAAAGAACAAGAGAGAAAAAGAGAGAGAGAAAGAGAAAGGAAGATGAGAAGAATAGTAGGTCCGCTATACGATCAAGATGGTTACTGGTGGGAGATAGCGAAATACACTCCTCAAACGAATAAATATCTTAGGGATTCATGACCGCATAAGATCGAACGGTTTTCTCTCAGCTTAAGGCGAAAAAGAAAGAAAGAAAGAAAGAAAGAAGTTGGTCTTTCTCATAGCTTCGAGTTTAACTATTTGGAAATCGAATACGACATCGAGTGACCTCCAGACAAGACTTATTTTTTCATATAGTCCTACATACAATCTAAACTCGCTCTGAGATGATTTCTCTTAATTTTCAATAGAATACGAGAAGAAGAAGTAGAAACAAAAAAAGAAAAGAAAATAATTGATAACATGACGAAAGGAAAAGAAATAAATACGTTTAAAATCGTTTACTTTCATATGCGAATTAACGCGAGAAGAGGTTAACCAGTTCGTTAAGAGGTTAAAAAACACCTGACATGTCAGCAGAGACAGGTCGGAAAAGAATAATCGTCGGGATACCAAAAAATCATGTTATCCCGAGGATCTGAATAGTGTCGAAATGATTAACCGATCCGAACATAATTCATTAACGGTTAGAAGGAAATATATTCGATGATCTATAGGTTCGTTAAACGATTTTGGAAAAGTTTTGTTCTCCATTCGTCAATTTATTATATTATTAAAACGTCCCAAAAATTTTTTACCTAATTTTTTGTTAATAACTTTTACATACTCGCACTATCATTTCATTTCATATTATTTCACATGAGCAGGATAATAACATAGTCAAAAAAAAGAATAAGAAACAAAATTTTATCCACCTAAGACTTATTGAAAAAAGAAGAAGGAGAAAAGAAAAAATAAAAGTAGCAAGAAACTTTCGATAAAACCTAACATAATAAATCATACTACACTCGTGTTATCGATATTACAGCTTTCATGTTTCATCATTTTTCTCTAGTACATTTTTTCACATAAATACATCACGAATGAACAGAATACGTGATACCTGGCACCGAGGAATCTTGTTACGTGATTAGCAATATCACGTCTTTGACGATTCTCGAGAGTCATTGTACAACGCATTCCGTATCAGAAGTACCTCAAAAGGAGTTACGTGCCCGTCGTTCTACTACACCACGATATTTTTTTTTCTCTTCTCTTTTTTTCTTTTTTTCCTTTGCCCCCCCCCTCTCTTCTCCCCCTATTAATTCTTGTCCTTCTTACTTTTTTTATTTTCTTTTCTTAAAACTAATACAGCAAGAGCAAGAGCAAGAGCAAGAGCGAGAACGAGAACGAGCTGACCCTCGGAAAGTTGAATCAGGCAGGAAATCATAAGAGCTTGTTGGGTGGACGTCGAGTGGTCTCCTCTTATTCGTCCCACCTAAGTCAACAACAAGTGGACTCTGAGATATTTTAACCGTCGCGCGTTTACAGGTACCTACTCGCGTGAACATACACACAGGTGCACACGTATAAAATAAGGAATTGAGAGGAACACCGTAACAACCATCGCCATCGCTACAACCATCAGAGAGAGAAAGAAAGAGAAAGAGAAAGAGAACACCCCACTCGTCTCTTCTCTTCTCACCTCCCTGTAGAAACGATCGAGAAATCATCTTGAGGATCTATCGATCTATCTATCTCTTTCTTTTAATATTTCTATCGTGTCCGCGTCACATCATAAGATATCGAAAATCTTCTTTTAAATTCTCTTCATCTAAACGAGAAAGCGTCGCAAATCTTCTAATAATCGATAAATCCAATCTCCACCTGGCATATAACACACGTAACGCTTACTTCTCATCGAGAATCCTCGAGATCAAAGTATATACTAGATTTGATTTATTCGTATGCCTGTATTGAGTGTATAGTACATACTAGTTATATTTATGCTGTAAGTTTAAAAGAAAAAAAGAAAAAAAAAGAAAAAGGGTTAGAGAGAAAACTTCAATACCATTTCCTGTGACAGTTATGTCAAGTGAGAGTTTCTAACTTACGTTCAGAATCAAATAAGACGACTCTCTTGCTCGTAAAGTATCATAAGTGAGCTATCACATTCTTTTCCTATCGGTTAAACCTCGAAAGATCGTACCTATGTCAGCTTACTAAGTTCTACATTTCGCACCCGTCGAAAGATCATCAACATGTGTGATGTGAGCTCGATCGTAACTTCGTACCTGTCTCTTCTTCTTCTTCATATTCTTCTTTTGCTTCTTCTTCTTCTTTATATTTCAATTTATTTTTACCTACCTTCCTTTCCCCCGCACCCACCTTCCCCCACCTTCCCCTAACCTCTTTGGTGTACGTAAGAAAGTCCTTGTAATATGTATGAACTCGCGTGTTTGAAGAGTTCGCGTTCCAGATGGCCGTCCGTCCGCTTTCCAAGGATATTTACAAAGAGCTCGTCTTCGACCGAACGGGGCAAACATCGCACGATTTCGCGAAGTTGCGTACTTAACAAAGAGAACTCTAAAAGGTGCAACGAGGTCTCTTCCTACGAATCAATACTTTCCAATAATCTCGAGAATGACTTTCGTGAATAAGTTTATAGTTTATAAACGTAATACACGAATCGTTTTTTAATGACAAGACAAGATTTTAATTTTACAATTTAAATCATTTCGTTTGATATACATATATATATATATATATATATAATATGTATGTATAAATATATATATATATATATATATATATATACAAAATATGATTTTATTTAATTATTCGTACAACATGTTAAAATTCGATCTGAATCAATCGAGATTAATCTTTAATATCATTTATAATGAAGACCGCTTTTAAAAAACCACGAAGGATAAAGCTTAACGCTCTTAATCAAAAGCGCAACGATTGAAAATCGTTTTTTCTTTTTTTCTTTTTTATACAATTGATCATGTATTTAATTATACTATTCGTTAAAAGGCACTTTTTGTTAAAACGTTGATTTCGTCGAAAAAAAAAATACGTACATCCTAAGAGAAAGAAATCATTCCACGTTTTGTCATATCTTGTTTCTTTTTTTTCTTTTTCTTTTCTTTTCTTTTAAACCGAGTTTAATGCAGCTACTAACTCGGATTAAATAAAACTTGTATATGCAAGTATGATATGTCCCGCGTATGTTCGTGTACGTGCACGTTCCGTCGCGATTGAAAGAAAATCATTCTTTCGTTATTGATAAATAGAAATAATAATAATAATAATTAAAAAACAAAAAATCGTTTGTCATTCCTCGATTACGTCAACACATAAAAACAAACTTGTTAACACTCTCGTATAAAATCCGTGCATGATTATTATATCGGGAACGTTTAATATTAATAAAAGTTTCATTTATACAAGGCACATTTTAAAACTCTCTTAGTTAAATCGATAGCCGAAAAAAAAAAAAAATAAAAAACAATTTATAAAAAGAGAGCTTAAAGGCACTATCATAAGGGCACGAACGTTTAATGTAAACTACACTTTTGTTCTAAATTCACCGATAAAGAAGTCAAGAGGAGAAACATCTTTCATTTTCGAATAATTCATAAAACACATCGAATCACTGAACAATGAAAGAAATAATAATTCTTTTATGTATGAGACACATAAAAGAACAATCTTGTGTTTGACGATGTAGTCTCGAAATTCCTATCAAGGATCTTCGGGTCTGGTCCAAGGTCATGTTTTCCTCGTGAGATCCAATGGTGGTACCGTGTCATGAAGGAGCTCGTTGTCCTCGTTATCCGTCGATCTCTCCTCTTCCGTGCTACCTGGATCCGTCTCTCTCGTTTCTAACTTTGCTGTTGTCCCGGTAGCAGTAGCAGCAGCAATAGCTTCCGCTGCAGCAACGGCAGCTTTGATGCTGAGATCAATCGGTTCTTCTTGTTCCGGACCGAGGGATCGAAAAAATGCAAGACTTTTGTCGTAAATAACCGACTCGTCTGCCGATTTTGGCCTAGATGATGATCGATCAACTTCCTCGCATAGACTTGATCGTACTCTCAAAACTCGACTATCGTCCTCTACTCTCGTTCTCGTTGGCGATGGTGTTGATCGAGGACTTATGCTTTCGCTCGAGGAACTCGAAAGACTCTCTAACATTGGCGGAGCTCCGATTTGATTAACGTACGGTACGATGAAACGTTGTTGAAACGGAAAGAACGGTGTATTTAAAAATTGCATTTGCGTTAATGCCGGATGTAAAAATGCTGGGCCCCTCCACATTGGAAAAGCACTTCTTGAAACTTCCGGCCTGAGAAGTTCCTGTGGGGCTCTTGCTAATTCGGCAACCCTCATACCAATTTGTTCTTGGCTCGATCTTGATGATAATTCTTGCGATCTCAACGTACTCGAAATGTCCTGCGACCTCAATGCAGTATCCTCGCGTTTCCCAATTCTATCCTGATGGTGTTGTTGCTGCTGCTGCTGTTGTTGTTGTTGTTGTTGCTGATGCTGTTGCTGCTGTTGTTGTTGCTGCTGCTGTTGCTGCTGCTGTTGATGATGATGGTGATGGTGATGATGGTAACTATTAGCTGTAGTTGTCGCTGTTGTGATCATTCCTATGATACCACTCGAAATGGGTGTACTAGCGTCTTCGTTATTATTGGTATTATTGTTGTTAGCCGCGTCCAACGAACCAAATGCTTTTTCGTATGCCAACTTTGGGTCCTTTATGAGACGCGTATGCGCCTGATGCGTCTGCTCTTGAAGTAGACAATGGATCTTGAACCAATTAGAACGACGCCCGTATCTCGAGCCTGATTTTGACATACCAACCATCAGGCACTTCCGTAATCGGCAAGCTTTGCAGGCTGTTCGATTTTTCTTGTTGATCACACAAATACCACCGTTCTTGCATTCGGATATACTGCCCAAATTATTGTAGGTACGCCCGAAGAACGACTGTGTTGAAAAGAAAAAAAAGAACAGATGAAGATACCAGTTTTTTTTATTAATATTTCTCAACGAAATAGGGAAAAATTAAAGAATGAAAAATAAGGCAAATATCAGATAGAAGATAGTAGAAAATATTTATTCGAATAAGTATTCAAATTAATCGATTCATTAACTTTTGTATTTTAAATTAAACTAACCTTACATCCTTCGCAAGTGAAGGCTCCAAAATGAAAACCCGCGGCCGGCTCTCCGCAAACTCTACAAAGTTGATTCATCTATAACAAATCAAAAAAGGAACAACAATTAGATAGAAACGTTATATTATAATTGTGTATTATAAGGAAAATAATTGAATTGTCCAAAAAATTCATGTTACTTAATAAATACAATCAACCTTCCTATAAAGCAGTTTCCACTTCCAACTTCTAAATTTTTGGAAAGATTGACTGTATATATATTTGATTCATATTTTAAATATAATACATAAATTTTTGTTTTCAAATCAACATAAATTATTCATGCAGCTCAATATCTATTTTACGTGTCGATAATTATAACAGTGAACCAATTACAAAGTCAACAAAAAAAATTAAAACATTGAATTTTTGTCATAATATTATATTAATATTTTATTCATATATATTTATAATACATTTATTTTATAATTAAAATAATATTATGAATTGTTTATATTTAGTCCATTGCTATAATTACAGACACAATGACAAGTATTTAATAGTAATATTTAAATTTTCTCTGAATAATCGAACAGCTGAATGAATTCGTAAATACAAATCGAGAAAAAAGAAAACAAGAAAGCAGCAAGAAACGCATAGAGTTCAGTTTGCGAAACTATGTTCCTATTAAAATCTAGTTAGTCAGTGATTACCGACGATGAACCAGAGGTTGCGGCTTCTTCGAGGATAGCATCGTGCCGATGAAACGAGAAAAGATGAACAAACTAGAAGAGACCTCGCGAGCAATAAACGTGTTATAACAAAAAAAAAAAAAAGTGGGGGAAAAAAAGGAAGAGAAAGAGAGAGAGAGAATATCAGTAGACGAAGAAAAAGCTCGATCCTCGTACGAAAACTGAATGACCCTTGGGGTCAGCCGAAGCATGCTATTCGAACGTTTCGTAATTCGAAGAAGACATTTTATAACACATAGAATCGATCAAATGTGATTTTCAAATTGATCTCATTGGTCATATTGATTTTTAACTTAATCGAGTTTACACTTATTAAAATATTTCCATAAAACCAATTATAGTAACAATTGACCAAATTGTAAATTAAAACTATTTAATTGATTTTCATCATTTACTTTGTATTCCAATGATTTATTTTATAAAAGAAATTTTGTCAATAGTTCGACTCGATCCAATGCCATAATTACGAGCATAAATAACGACCACCCTAATATACCTATATCTATAATCGATATGTCATTTAACAAATATCGTATTTGCACAAAAGTTCTTTCAAAGATTCTAACAATTATCCCACATGACATTAACGGTAACAAATTTACAAGACTCCAACGGCAAAATTAGTTTCCACGGCTTGTTACCTATTAAAATTCTCGAACGTATGGCTACCGTGAACAACTTACTAACGAAATTGAAATTCTATTGTAACTTCTGGTTCTATCTATATAACCGAAGATATTATTTATATAGGAACACACAGTTACCCATTATTGTTGTTGTTGTGTTGTTGTTATTGGTATTATTATCGAGTATACGGATGTTCGAAGGAACGGTGCATGTATATATATATATACATATATATATCTACACTTTCACACATACCACGTAACCGAACTTGTAGAATAAGAAGGGAGGTGCTTGATGACACCTGATGGAAACGACAGTGAAGCACGAGGCATAGAAGACGAAGAGAAAAGTAAAAAAGGTTCAACGTCCAACAGATGACGCGGCTGTGTCACCTCCGATCTAATCCCTGCAGCCTGACGCACCACGACCCAACGGAACTAAATAAATGTTCTCGTGTCTCCTGTCTTCTTGGTGGCCTTTCCCGTCTACTCATTCTATCTCTATCTTACGTTTCTTTCCATTGAAGATCATACGTATCGAGAAAACTTGTGCCTAGTTTTAATTACAATTTCAAAATAATACTATTTCATTACCATATATCGTCTGATACTTAAAACTATATATATATTTATAAATCTGCATTGACTTTTCCAGCAATCCACAATGGTATAAATATTAAATGCCCAAAAAATTCGCGTATCGATTTTTAATTAATATTTAATATTAAATATTATTATATATTGTATGTAAAATTAGACAATTACAAATATAAAAGTAATTATAAATTATATAATTATAAAATATTATATTGGGGGCGATAGTTAAGTAGAAGATACGTACAGAGAAAATGGAATTAATTTATAATTGATTTTAGAAAATTATCAATACAACACCCATTAATTTCTAATCATTATGGAATAATATGTGAATAGGTTAAATATCGATAGAAAAAAATAAATAAAACTCACCACGTCGGTGGTGGCCGGTGCCGAAGCGATGCTCGACGTAGGCGTCCACCACCCTACGGTATGGCTACTGGATGTTGTATTCGCGATAACACCAACACTCGTATTTCCGGGATTGGATCCACTCCCTGGAGGTAATCCTATTGAGCTCGATATATCACCCACGTCCATTCGATGTCCTTTAATCCTTCGATGCGTATCCTTTCGTTTGCAGATCACAAGATTCGTCCTCCGTTCTTTCTTGAAGATTTTCTCTCAACATTTTGTATATTTCTATTTCTTTTTCCTCCACCTTTTATTCTTCTTCTTCTTCTTCACCTTTTTTTCACGATTATTCTCAGAGATTACTAATATGGTATCTATCACCGAGATTTATCTCTTTTGTTTCTCCCTTGGCACGTGGGCCGAACTAAAAAAAAAAAAGAAAATTATACGATTGATAGAAATACGAAGATATAGGGTAGAAAAAGAAAAAATTTGTCGTTTGATTTGCTCTCATTTACAGGATATAATATTTTTTTTTGATCGTGCGATGATTAAAATTCGACTTTGTTTATTTCTTTTTTCCTTACCACCAAAATAGAAAAAAAAGATAAAGAATAAAATAAAAGACACGATAAAGAAGAATAAGAATAATAATAAGAAAAAGAAGAAGAAGAAGAATCTCTCTTGGGTTTCGAAATTTTCGAAGATCGCTAACGCGACGATTAACATCGGTTTGCATTTAAACTAACGACTAATTAGAAGTCGTATCTTCCAATCCGTGGAAGACCGGTTCGCTAGGTGTACACCGTCGCCTTGCCAGAGGACTACTAAATCCTTATAGTTCTACGGATTAATTCGCTCGTGCTATGTCGCAAACATAACGTGCCGATTTAATCGACGATCGGGACGATGGAACGATATTACCTACGCGTTAGACAAGAAAATCCTCAGGCGCGATCTTTTAAATGCGATTTTTATCTAACACTCCTCGATACTCGCTCATGGATCAGTTTTACGTTCACCGAGTTATATCACTTTTAAATGAATTATTTAAATACACATATATCTTAACACACACACACACGATACGTTCTTAATTCTTCTATAACATATTTCTTTCGCGAAATTAAATACCTACTACGTCTATCTACGATGATGATTACCATTTAAAGAGAGAAAATATTAATATTATATAATTATATATTTTCAATCTCACTTCTTCTTGAACCGTATTATTTTTTTTTTTAATCGACTACATCTCTTAAGCTTTAACAATTAATTAATTAATTATTTTTAAACGCGAGCGCTATACAAAATCATCGTGTTTTACAATAAACGAACATTTATTTATTTTATCAATCGTAAAAAATAATTCCAGATAAATTTGTAATAATAATTCAATTATCACAACTATAATTGATATATCTTGTTAATCACAATCAACTCTCTATATATCAATTAAAATTCACAATTCAATCTTTCTATCAAGAATTTATTAGAAGAACAAAATCGCGCATAACAATAAATCTTATCTTTTTCGTAATTCCTTCGCTCAATAATCTCTCTCACTAAGAACGAAATAATCGTTCTGTTATTAACGATCGATGATTCTTAACGATCTCTCTCTCTCTCTCTCTCTCTCTCTCTTTCACGCAAACATACACACAGATACGCACGCGCGTTTTCTATCCTTGGAAAGATGAAACGATGAGCTTCGCGACGGCGATAATGACTGATCGGTGAAATCCACTGGCATCAAAAGTATCGCCCTGAGGTGTATTTAAGGTGTTCCTTTTATTTTTGTCTTTTGTTTTTTGTTATATCAAGATATTTCCCTTTCGCGCTACCAATCCCTGCCGACAAATGAATAACAGCCGTTCGATCGATCGATCGATCGAACGAACGATCAGTTAACCGACTGCAGCATCTTTTAATGAACCGGTTGCGAACGGCACGTCACTCGGATATCATCCTGCCGACTGACAATTTAAATCGTTTGTACCAGGAACGACGTGACAAATTAATCGTTGACGCCGTCTACGAACATCCGAGGATGACGTTTTTTTTTTTTCTACGTTCCTACGTTTATCTTATTACCCGCAGATTTCGCACAAACTACACCCAAACCCACCCCTTCCCTTCCCCACCTGTTCTCATCCGCCTCTACTGCTATCTCACTCGTTTCTTATTGTCGTTAAAAGGATTTCTCATTGATTGATACGATCCTCCTTCTCCTCCTCTTTCTCTTCTTCCTCCTCTTCCTCCTATTCGATTACGTACCATCAACATTAACAGAATCTCCTGAACAACATGACAAGAAATGAATTCCTAAATCCTCGTTAACACTAACATAGACGATACGTTGACACGATTATCGAGTCTTCCAATGTCACTAAACAACGCGGACGTGGAATTAATTATTAATCCCTTAAACACAATGTCGCGCGTATGTGTGTGTGAGTGTGTGTGTAGACGATAAATTAATATAACGTCGAAGAAAATCACTCTCTTTGATAATTTATATTTTACTCTCTTTGAGGGGGATACAAATTCACAAAGATCCTCGTTAATGATATATCCTCAATATAATTCGTTAAATCGCGATCGAAGCACATAATGATACGTTGTATTTATTAATTAAAAAATACATCATGGATAATTAAGGGGAAAAAAGGATAAGAAATAACATTGCAATTAGAAAAAGGAGAAAGAAAATTGAAGTGAAGAATTTAATAATAATAATAATAATGAGAGCGATTAAAAAATGAGGTGAGGATTAACGGTGAACGGAAGGAAACAAAGTTGGGAAGGGTTAATAAAACGTGAGATTGGAAGGGAGTGGGGATTGAAAGGGTGGGAAGGTACGACGAGGGGAAGGAAAAAGAATAAAGCAGAGCAGAGGAGAGGAAAAAAAAAGTAAAGAAAAGAAAAATAAAATAAACATGGGGACAGAACGAGGGCGAAGAAGAAGAAGAAGAAGAAGAAGAAAGGATGAAGGAATTGTCGTGTCTGGACCACCGGCCGGCTCGGGGCGTGCGCTCGTGTAGCACGTGGCCGAGAGACTGAATATCCCTACCTTGGATACTCTTCGTCAGTCCGTTTGTCCGCCTCATCCTTATCTTACCTACTCGACCGAGAAAGACTACCTCTACCCTCTCTCTCTCTCTCTCTCTTTCTTTCTCTCGCTTACTCCTTCTTCCTTTATTCTCATCTTTCTTTCTTTCCTTCCTTCATTCTCCCTTCCTTTCTTCCTTCCTCCTCTCTTCCTTCATTCTCTTTCCCTTCCAACACTCAACGAGGATCCGAAGATCACGTCCCCCTTCTCATATACACATACACATTTTCTCTCTCTCTCTCTATATATATATATATCTTTCTTTCATGCTCCCTCTCTCACAGGTATTTATATATACAGTATAGATATCCCCGTGCAGCATCCATCTCCACCTGCGTAGGAGCCGCGAATCCTGGCATCTCTTCGATTCTCTTCCCTCCCTCTCTTTCTCACGCAAACGTATATATATATTTACTCGCTCACTTTCTCTATCTTTCTCTATCGACCAGTCTCTACACTAACAACGAATCCTTTCTGTCTTTATCCCTCTTAACAACCTTACCTATCTTCTCCACCTCTTTCTCTCCTCCTCCTCTTCCTCCTCTTCCTCCTCCTTCTCTGGCAACTCGAATACAAGGTGCTCTTTTCTGTAAGCGCGGGAGGAGCGCGAACTGAAGCAAACCGAACGAACGAACGAAGCCAAGCCAAGCCAAGCCAAGCCTAACCAAGCAAAGGAGACGATATCACACGTATCCTGCTATATCCCTCCCTCATCCTCCTCTTTTTCCTCGCGGATTCACCAACCGCGACCTCTTACATACATTCATACACGCAAACTCACCTACGATCTCCATATTCATCCCATACGTAAACCAATGTGCATACGTATATTAAGTATGGATTTATAATAGATTATTCGCTAGAAGGATATAATCAATCGTTAAATCAATCGTTCTTATTCCTTTTTGCTGTTGTTTTTTTTTTTTGTCGTTTTCTTTTTCTTGTTTCTTCCTTTTGTGTGTTTCGTTTATTGATCGATAATTCTTTGACGCGTGAATTTACGTACTCGGCATTTCCCACACGGAATCGACACTACAAAATTCAAAATTCACGGAACGAGAAACTTAACGTTTATATAAATTCATGAAGAACTTTGATCGGTCGATTTCTATTAAAATTACGCTAAAGAATAACAAAAAAAATAAATAAAAAACGATAAATGTTTATTCGCGGAAACGTTAAAGCAATCTTATTTCTTCCATATTGGAATATAATTTGTCATAGGTAATATTAAATAGCGCGTAAAATCTATAATCTTATAGGTGGTTTTAAATGTTCGAACTCTGGTCCCTTTTCTTCGGAGATTTCGATGCTGGGAATGATATTTTAACAATGTTTAATAAAGCATGAGTATTAATGCAAGACACGATTATGCATGCATTATACAATTTTTATATAATGAAAAATAATATTAAGGATATATTGAAAACAATATAAGGCAAAGAATTAAACCCGAAATTTGTCTTTTTGGTAATCTGAATAAAATTTTATGTCGAATATATTAGGAATGGTTTTAGAAATATTTAAAAATCATTATACACGATAATTATACCACATCAAGATTTTTATCTACAATTTCTTCTTTTTCTTTAATTTAATTTTTTCTTAACATTTAATTATTTTTTCATATTTATATTTCTTTTATTTACCTTACTTATTTTGATTATTTTAAACCTTCGCGTATTACCGAAATTGTATAATATCTTTTAAAATTTTTAATTATTATATTATTGTAGAGAATAAAACATTTAGACCACACAATTCAATTTTATTTATGCGTACAGGGTTTTAACTAAAAAACATATACAAAAAATTGATTTTCTTTTTTTTCGGGTCACTCTTTATTCCTCAATTTGTGCGCGTCGGTATAATAACGGAGTAGTATAAAAACAAAGAAGAGTTCGTCGTGTGGAGTAGAATAAAAACAAATAAGAGTTCGTCGTGTAGAGTAGGAGGTGCCCGATCATCGACCAATAGAAAGAGCCGCCACCCACGAAGCAATAAAAATTAATTTATCACGTGGATCGCCGCCTACGCCATTGCTCCTTTCGTCTTCCGCAGAATCTCGAGAATTCCTCCAGATGGCGACACCTGTCGGGTAAAGAAATCATTTTCAATTATATTAATAAACGAGAAATGCCCGCAAATATTGTACAAACATAATTAGAAGTTTACTTTATAATATCTATAAATTTTTATTTAGAATTCTAACAATAATAATTATAAAAATTATCAATGAGTTTTTTGTTTACTTTAAATAATTTCAAAATTTAAATGGAACTTTTAAATTCCTAGAAATCGAAAATTGTCAATTTTATGGGCTTTCGAATGGACTCATTTTTTAATTAAAAAAGAATTATTTAAACATGAATGTATTTAAATGAAATCTTTATCTAGAAACATTTATATAATGCAATTAAAATAATAAATTTAAATAAATAAAAAATAATTTATATATCGTCAATATGTATGAGTTATCGACGTATCAGTAGGTATTTTCATAAAGAACTGCAGAGGGCACCACATTACGGTATTACAATTTAACGCGTCGGTAACATTCATATTGCATATATACAAATTAATTTTTTATAGTTACAAACACTTTTATTAAAAATATATGATAAATATTTTATTATATATTATTATTATATTTAATTATTACATATCATATGAAAATAAAAGCTAAATATATGCTTGAATAAAACAAATATATATACATAATTAGTCTACTTATATATATTAACACACATTACTTCTTAAATAAATGTTTGCATAAAATGAAAAAGCTTATAACAATTTATGTTAAATTAAATTAATTGTAATGAAAAAATTGTAAAGAAAATACCCTAAATATAAAAAAAGGTGCCGTTACAAAGTTCTCAATGAAATAAAATAGATTACAAAAATATCTTAATTATAATATTTATAATATGAAATGTATAAAATCATATTCAAATGAAAAATAACGTATAATTATTAAAATACCGAAACGTATAAACTTGAAATAAATTTGAATTCGATACAAATCGATAATCGATCTTAGAGTAGAACACTAACTCGAAGTTTGTAACGGAGCGTTGCCGAATGAATGGCGGATTGTTTTTTCAAAGAGATAAGTTATGAAGATTTAATTTAGAGACATATGGATGTTGTGATAAATTATTATCGGGTAACGGATCGTTATACATTTTCGGTATGTGCGAATATTTTTGGGAACCTTTAGCTGAAGTTTATATAGCAGAACAGGCGGAGTCCCTCGACTCTGACAGTTACATTTATTGTCTTTGTAGTAGAGTGTTTGTCAGGTAAATGTAAATCTCATTTTATATTACATTTTTTTTTTAATATTATTTATCTATCTTTCCTTTTTTTATTTAATTTTTCTATTTTTTTGTTTTATCTTTAATTAAAATCCTTCATTTTTTTGTATTAGTAATATCCCTCACTTCTACTTTTCTATTGATTTATGATGTGACACATGACACATGACTTAACCTTGACATCTACCTACTTATATATAATATAATTTAAATTATAACAGAAATACTTATCTTTAATTGAAATATTTAACAATTTGCATTTAACGAATAATATATGATCATTTTGACAATTGAAATGTCTCTTTCTTAAGTCAAAAACTATTGTGAAATGTTGCATGAATATATGATCATTTTGACAATTGAAATGTCAGTTTCTTAAGTCAACAACTATTGTGAAATGTTACGTGAATTTTTTCCTTTAGTGTTCTATTATTATTTGTATTGGAATCTTTTTCTCCTCCCCGTCCCCCTCTATTTATGAAGGAAACAATCAAATGATTTATCTATGATAAATTTCATATTATCATACTTTACTTCAGAAACCCAGATGTTTATGCAATCCAAACAGCCGAAGATGGAAGCGAATGTGAAGATGTTGAAAGAGATTATGTGGGAGAAATGTTAGATATCCACAAAAGAACAAACACAGAAATACAATCCGTAGAAAAACACGACGTAAGATAATTAATATTATTAACTTTATAATCGCAATACAACAAAGTATATCTTTAATTGGAAATCCATCTGTACGAATCTTTATTGAAGACATATTTTTGTTATTTTCTTTTTTTTTTATTTTATTTTTTTTTTTGTTTCTCTTTGTTTCTTTTTTTTTATTAGGAAGAACCTGTAAGTTGTTATTGCAGTGCATCACACACAGACAACAATTATTCTACCGATGAACATGATTCCATTCGTGACTCAGCCCATCGTGTGACAGCTCATAGCCTTACGCAAAAATTAGGTCTACACCAATCAGATTCTGGTGCAGATTTGTCAGAATATCATGATCAGCATGAAGCTAAGAGCATAAAAAATCTTTTAGCATCTTACGGAAAAACATTTCATTCATCTGAAAACGAAGTTGAAAATGGTTTTGATAATGCGGAAGCATTTACGAGGTATCGCGAAAGCAGAGATTTAGAAATCAAGTCTGAAACATTAAATGTTGATTCTGAAAATTCTTGTATCGAAGACACGTCAGCCTTAAGCTGTAATACCTCTAATCGCACAAAAAACAAGTATCATACCAAATCCTCCTCGTTTATTTTAGGAGAAAAAGATTCAATAGCACAACCTTTATCCTTAAATTTAACGGCATTAGATGATATACAAGATTCCAGCAAAAATGAAAACGAAACAAAACATTCTATGCACAATTATAAAGAAATTTCCGATGATTTTTCCTATACAGAATACTTCCAAAATAGTAAAAGTAAGATGGATATAGCTTGGGAGAAGTATTGGTACAAAAATGGGGAACAATTAATATGGTCGTCGTGGATCGAAAAGTATGCTGAATACATTAATCCTGATTACCTTCAAGAGAATTTAAATCTAAAAGAAGAGGGAAAACTAAGTGAAAGTAAACAAGCAAGTATAGACAAAT